TGGATTTTGAGCTAACAAGACATAAATACCTGTATCCATTTTCAAATAATAAATTAATAACATTGGTTGAATGCTGAACATTGTCTATATAACAACACTGGTCCGCGGCAGCATAGACTATTGCATGATGAGATCCATACATGTATAACGGAATTACATGCACCATTCGAGTCCTTCAGTACTATAGTGACATGAAGATACATTTTTTTATGGATTGGAATTACATGGAAAGAATCGAACCTATTGGAATTATATATGGAGAGCTTCAAATTTAGGACCATATACATATTACTTTCAAATCATTCGATGATGACATGAAGATATATAGATATAAATGTGTTACCTAAATTGTTGTTTCATTTCTTTAACACTATCTAAATGTATAGTATGCCCGCATGGTAAGACAGTGATATCTCTAGCTGTATAGGGAAAAGTAAAATCATGTAAATGAGAATTTTCTTAAAAAAAATCATCTTGTTATAATACTATAGGTTTGTAACGTGTTTTACCTCAAAGCAAACAGGGAAATTGTGATGCATTAGTGTTATAAAGGGGTTTAATAAAAGCTAAAATTCAAGGGAGGAGTTAGATATAAGATGATAGATTAATTCTTGGTTCCCAATACATGGAGAGAGAAAAAAAATTATCATAAAGATCGTTCAGTCAAAATATGACATTGGGAAACACAAGACAAGCATGTGTTGTGTGCAATCTACGTTTGTGGTATGATTTGGCACATTTCGTTATAGCATAAGATCCTCTTTTTTAAGGTTTTAATTGCTCAATGGCTTATTTTGAATGTGAACGAGATGAGATGATTAGCTAGTATTTGGTATGAGGCACATATTTTTCTTAGGAGAGGTTTCCAAACAGGTAAGCAGAGGAATGCGGTACCTCCATTGGTGATTTATCGTTTTCTGTATTAATTGCTTAATTTCTGCTTTTTCCGTATATTGAGAAAGGACAAGAAGCAAAAGTACATATATTGAGAGAGATCTTTTATGACCAGAAGGGGATTGGAACAACAGGATGATTCGCATGAATTATGTGAAGAAAAACGAAATGTGATATAGTGGATAAATAACTTTATTTCTTAATAAATATGTAGTCAAATGGTTGATCTTTGATCGATATGCATGAAAAACTATTTGTTAAAAGAGATTAATTCTTTAAATAAATCTTAGTACTTCAAATGATTAACTTTTGCTTTCAACTAAGAGAAACCTTACCAAAAGAGATGAATTCGGTGAAGTGTACCTTTCAGCATCGGTGATGCAAATCTACTAATAATGTGTCTCAATGTTGATGACTTGTTAAGCAGCTAGCAACGAAGCTGAACTTGAAGAATTTAAGGGGCAAATGACGAAAGAACTTGAGATGAATGACTTGAGCCACACCTATCCAACCTTATTGCGGTCGAATTCAAAAGAGTAAAAGGTGGAATCATAATGCATGAAAGCAAGTATGTAGCAGATTTGTTTTAAGAGATTCAACCAACAAGCTCTCCAATACAATTATGTTGTTATGTTAGCTGAGATTGGAATACATGTAAAGGAAGGGAATGACGAGCAAGTTGATGCGCATACATTAGACATATAGTAGGATCTCTCAAATATTTGTGCAATACCTGAACCAACCTAGCCTTTGGTTGTGGCTTGTTTAGAAAATTCATGGCGACCAAAGAGATGTCAGTTCTTAGCAGCTAAGAGAATGATGTGTTACACTGTTATGTGAAGGGGATTGTGTTAGAAGTAGAAACATAAACAATAATTTATCAAAAAATATGCAAAACTAGAAAAACAATTTTAAAATATTATATATTTGACCCATTACAAATTGGTATCAACATGCTAATTTTGTGGTTGAACCAGGTGAATTAGAGGGTCAACTTGGACCAATTCAATCAATGGAAATGTTTTTATGGGCATGAAAGAAATTTACTAACCTTTGCACCAACCACTAGACCAACAACTTCAATTGTTACATAAACAACTTATGGGATTGCGAGTGTAAATAAGATGAATATTCCCCTCTCAACATGATCTATTTCATATCTAAGATCAAAATTCAAACTCTAGACATCTTAGTTAAAGAACTCAAGCCGTTACCACTTGTATCAATCAATGTTGATTTTAAGTTATATATTTAATAATATAAGACATATACACATATTACATATATTAATTATTTTTTTACATTAATTACAAGTACATTATATATACATATTATTCATAATTTTAATTTGTATTAATTTATATAGTTTAACATATAACTTTTTCATGTATTTCTTCATACCAAATTAAAAAAAAAAATTGAATAAGTTGGAAATTAAACTTAAGAGAATGTGATTATTTAACACTTATATTTTTAGAGATTTCTTTAAGATACAATATAAATTTATTGAAATTTATAAATATAAAATATATATAACTTAAATATTTTTTTAAAAAGTTAATAGAGAATAGATCACATGTACTTTAATTAATGATCTTCAATTCGATCTCTGATCTATTCTAACTGATTTATTGATCAATCTAATTTATAAATCTATGATATAAAGAACTTTGTATTGAAGTAAGCAAAACAATATTTTTCGAAAGATAGTCAAACTGATTTTTCACTGCACTCATATTTTTTCTCAGGAAGTAACAATATAGATTAATAAGTTACGTGTAACACGTCTTTTTATATCGGAAAATGAGTTAAAACACTTGTAGTAACAACGTGTGGGTAATCGAATAAAACTTAAATTAATCTTAAAAACTCCCAAGTTCAGCTAGCAACAAACTTGTAATTGAAAAATAAAAAGACCCAGACAAATAAAAATTAAAAACCAAAAAGATATGAATGAACTAAAAAGAAAAATCTTCTAATTTAAATTTTAAAATATGAATAAAAATATAACTTAAATATGTTTTTAATCTATGTAAAATAAGTATGTTTTGATTTTAGTTTCTATAAAAAAAATATTTTTTATCCTTCTAAAATTCAAAATTATGATTTTAGTTTCTACTATTATGTGACTCTTTTTAACTATTTATGTGTTCATTAGAAGATTATGTGACCATACCAAGTGATGCTCATAACTATTTGTCATGTTATTTGCATGTTACACTTCTAATTTATTTTATAAATTTTTAAAATAAGTGCTATATATACTTTAAAATGGTCATTAGGGATCAAAAATAGTGACTTCAAATTTTACAAGAATGAAAATCAAAAATAAACATTTTTTAGAGATCAAAACCAAAATTTATTTATTTTACATAAATTAAAAATAATATTTATAAATTTTAAAAGGATGAAAAACAAAGAAATTTTTTTACAAGAATTAAAGCATATTTAAGCTTATTAAAAATATTCATTTAACATTGTTCCACTAATTTAAAATTTAAACAAAAGAAACAATGGAATATAAAAAATAAAAATAAAATAACAACAACAACTTTATAGACGGAACATGTAATAATTTTGTAAAATAAAATTGTGTATTTTAGTCAACAACAACTTTATTATTATCCAATGAACTTCTTTCATGGGATTCTCTTTCCTTTGAAGACAAGTGCCCATTATTACAACAAGTTTATAGGTTTTAGAGTCCTCAACGACCGATCAAGTACATGCTGGCACATAAGTTTTTTTTTTTTAATGTATCTTGTGAGACCCTACCCATTTTTACATAACCATTTTTACTCTTACTCACTTGGCTAAAGCACTTTCCTCTAGCTCTCTCTCTCAATTCTTCCTTCACTCTCCTTACACTTGGTTTTCCTTGGAACCATAGGTGGTGCTGACTAGGTGGTTCGAATTTCTTCTCCTCCGTAGCCATCCAAGCTTATTCTTTGCCGTTTGTTCAAGTTTTCTCCTCCTCGTTCAAGTTTCTTAGTCTTCCCGGAGCTCGAATTTCTTGATTTGAGGTAAGGGAAATTAGTAATCTTTGTTGTGTTTTTGGCTGGAAAAAGGGAGCTTAGAAACTCATTTGGCTGCTGGTGTTAGATTGTGCTTGGCTGAGTTGCTGAAATTGGGGTTTTGGGTTTTTGGGGTTGTGACTCAAAAATTTGGGATTTTCTCTGATTTGTTGTTGCATACACATAAAACTAGTACTTTCGAACTCCTTGATGAAAATGTGACACTTTGAACCGTTTGCATGTGAATTTTCTGTTAAGTTTTTGCAGGTTTTGGAAAATTTTAGAATTTGGGGAGAGTTACTGATGAGTTTGCGCTGGGCGCTGTTCTTCGTGCCGGGCGCGCGACCACTAGGGGACTCTGTTTAGGCAAGCCCGCCGGGCACAAAGTTGTGGGCGCCGGGCGAGCTTGCAAATGGGAGTCTCTGGTTAGCCCGCGCCGGGCGTGACTTGGGCTACGCCGAGCGCGATATCAAGGGTGACATGTTTTTGGGTACTCAGGTGTCGCGCTAGGCACGCGTTTGGACTCGCTGGGCGCGAAGGCTCCTTGGGAGTCTCTGCCAAGAGAGCGCTGGGCGCAATACGAATTGTGTTGGGCGCGAGACCTTGGTGGGTCTCTGCCTTCCTCACGCTGGGCGCGGGTTAGGCCACGCTGAGCGCACGAGACTCCTTAGAGTCTCTACCTGTGTGTGATTTGGGGTTAAGACTGTTAGTGTCTACGCCCGCTTCTGTGTCAGTGATTACTTCGGAACTGTGTGTTGGTTGCCCAGTTGTGGTGAATGAGAAGAAGTACAAGGTAAACTTGATTTGTTTACCTTTGGTGGATATTGACATAATCTTAGGGATGGATTGGTTGTCTGCCAATCGCATCCTTATAGATTGTGCCAATAGGAAGCTGATTTTTCCTCAGTAGGAGGAGGAGCTATTGATTTCAGCTGGCCAAGCTGAGTCATTGCTGGGAGATGGGGCAGAGTGCTGTCTTTTGCTTGCTGCGTTGAGTATTGAGACCGAGCGGGTCATTTCTGAAATTGATGTAGTAAGGATTTTGCTGAGGTTTTCCCGGATGAGGTGCCTGGGTTGCCTCCTGTTAGGGAGATGGAGTTCAGCATTGACTTAGTTCCAGGTGCGGGACCAGTGTCTGTGGCTCCCTATAGGATGGCTCCTGCTAAGCTGGTTGAGCTGAAGGGTCAGTTGGAAGACCTGTTGAAAAAGCAGTTGGTGCGGTCGAGTGTTTCGTCGTGGGGTGCTCCGGTGTTATTGGTAAGGAAAAAGGATGGAGGTAGTCGACTGTGTGTTGATTACCGGCAGCTGAACAAGTTGACCATTAAGAACAAATATCCACTTCCCCGGATAGATGACTTAATGGATCAACTGAGGGGAGCATCGGTGTTTTCGAAGATTGACTTAAGGTCAGGCTATCACCAGATCAGGGTGAAGGAGGGTGACATACTGAAGACTGCTTTCAGGACTAGGTATGGTCACTATGAATATGTTGTGATGCCGTTTGGTGTGACCAATGCCCCCGCAGTGTTCATGGACTACATGAACAAGATCTTCCGGCCGTTCTTGGATAAGTTTGTTGTGGTGTTCATTGATGACATCTTGATTTATTCAAGGACCCGGGAAGAGCACGGTGAGCACTTGAGGACAGTGCTGGAGATTTTGAAGGCGAAGCAGTTGTATGCTAAGCTTTCAAAATGCGAGTTCTGGTTGGATGAGGTGAAGTTCTTGGGACATGTGATCTCAGCTGAGGGGATTGTTGTTGATCCGGCTAAGGTGGAGTCGGTGTTGCAGTGGGAACGTCCAAGGACTGTCACTGATATTAGGAGTTTCATGGGTTTAGCGGGTTACTATCGAAGGTTCATTGAAGGATTCTCTAAGATAGTAGTGCCTCTAACCCAGCTGACACGGAAGGAGCAGCCGTTCATCTGGATAGATGCCTGTGAGCGGAGTTTTGAGGAGCTAAAACGGAGATTGACCACTTCTCCTGTGCTGGTGTTGCCGGATTCTAATGAGCCTTTTTATGTGTACTGTGATGCTTCTCACCAGGGTCTGGGGTGTGTGTTGATGCAAAACAGGAGAGTGGTGGCGTATGCTTCAAGGCAACTGAAGAATCATGAAAGGAATTACCCTATTCATGACCTGGAGTTAGCATCTGTGGTGTTTGCCTTGAAGATATGGAGACATTACTTGTATGGTGCTCGGTTCAACGTCTTCAGTGACCACAAGAGTCTGAAGTATCTGTTTGATCAGAAGGAGCTGAACATGAGGCAAAGGCGGTGGATGGAGTTTCTGAAGGATTATGATTTTCAGTGGATGTATCATCCAGGCAGGGCCAATGTGGTGGCAGATGCGCTGAGTAGGAAATCCATCCACATGTTGAGTATGATGATGAAGGAGCTAGAGCTGGTTGAGGAGTTCAGAGATTTGAACCTCTGTGTGGAGTTAGCTCAGGATCACATTAGTTGTGGGATGATTACCATAACTAATGAGTTCTTGAGGCAGGTTGGACTTAAGCAGTTGCAAGACGCTGAGCTGGTGAAGCTTCTTGGATTGCTGGGTACTGAGAAGGCTATTGGCTTTGAGCTGGGAGAAGATGAAATCTTGAGGTTTAAGGGCAGAATTTGCCTACCTCAGGATGCTGAACTGAAGAGAGTTGTGTTGGAGGAAGGTCACAAGAGCAGACTTAGTATACATCCAGGTATGACTAAGATCGATGTACCAAGATCTCAGGAAGACTTTCTAGTGCTCTGTTATGAAGAGGGAGATCGCTGAGTATGTGGCGGCCTGTCTGACTTGTCAGAAGGCAAAGGTTGAGCATCAGAAGCCGAGTGGGTTGATGCAACAGATTGAGATTCCCGAATGGAAGTGGGATAGTATCACTATGGACTTCATCGTCGGGTTGCTTAGGTCAGCTAGGAATAGTGATGCTATCTGGGTGATTGTTGATCAGTTGACCAAGTGTGCACATTTCTTGCGTGTCAACATCAAGTGGTCCTTGGAGAAGCTGACGCAGTTGTATGTGAGGGAGATAGTACGGTTGCACGGGGTGCCTACCAGTATTATTTTCGACCGAGATCCGAGGTTCACTTCCAGATTTTGGCAGAGTCTACATCAGGCCCTAGGCACGAAGCTGAAGTTGAGTTCTGCTTATCATCCACAGACGGATGGTCAGTCAGAGAGGACAATCCAGTCCTTGGAGGATCTGCTGAGGGCCTGTGTGTTAGACCACTTGGGTAGCTAGGAGGAGGTCCTACCGCTGGTGGAGTTTACTTATAACAACAACTTTCATGCTAGCATTGGGATGGCACCGCATGAAGCCTTATATGGCAGATGTAGGACTCCTTTGTGCTAGTATCAAGATGGGGAATCAGTAGTTGTGGGACCAGAGCTGATCCTACAAACTACTAAGAAGGTGAAGATGATCCAGGAGAAGATGAAGACTACTCAGAGTAGGCAAAAATATTATGCTGATAGGAGACGTAAGCCTTTGGAGTTTACCGAAGGGGAGCATGTGTTTCTGAAGGTGACTCTGACCTCTGGTGTGGGAAGAGCGCTGAGGGCAAGAAAGTTGACACCAAGGTTTGTGGGTCCCTATCAAATCATACAGCGTGTAGCTCCGATCGCTTATCGGTTGGCTCTGCCACTGTCTCTTTCAAACCTACACGATGTATTTCATGTGTCTCAACTGAGGAAATATATTCATGACCCGAGTCATGTGGTGGAGTTGGACGATGTACAAGTGAAGGAGAACCTGACGTATGAGAAGTTTCCAGTAGCCGTGGTGGATCATAAGCAAAAGGAGCTGAGGGGCAAGTCTATTGCTATGGTGAAAGTCCTGTGGGATGCGACTACCGGTGAGGCTACTTGGGAAGTGGAGCAACAGTGCAAGGAGCGGTATCCGTTTCTCTTCCCAAGTAAGTTTGTTTTCGGGGACGAAAACTCCTGTTGTTGGGGAGGTTGTGAGACCCTACCCATTTTTACATAACCATTTTTACTCTCACTCACTTGGAACCATAGGTGGTGCTGACTAGGTGGTTCGAATTTCTTCTCCTCCGTAGCCATCCAAGCTTATTCTTTGCCGTTTGTTCAAGTTTTCTCCTCCTCATTCAAGTTTCTTAGTCTTCCCGGAGCTCAAATTTCTTGATTTGAGGTAAGGGAAGTTAGTAATCTTTACTGTGTTTTTGGCTGGAAAAAGGGAGCTTAGAAACTCATTTGGCTGCTGGTGTTAGATTGTGCTTGGTTGAGTTGCTGAAATTGGGGTTTTGGGTTTTTGGGGTTGTGAGTCAAAAATTTGGGATTTTCTCTGATTTTTTGTTGCATACACATAAAATTGGTACTTTCGAACTCCTTGATGAAAATGTGACACTTTGAACCGTTTGCATGTGAATTTTCTGTTAAGTTTTTGCAGGTTTTGGAAACTTTTCGAATTTGGGGAGAGTTACTGATGAGTTCGCGCTGGGCGCTGTTCTTTGGGTCGGGCGCGCGACCACCAGGGGACTCTGTTTAGGCAAGCCCGCCGGGCGTAAAGCTGTGTGCGCCGGGCGAGCTTGCAAATGGGAGTCTCTGGTTGGCTCGCACCGAGCGTGACTTGGGCTGCGCCGGGCGCGATATCAAGGGTGACCTGTTTTTGGGTACTCAGGTGCCACGCTAGGTGCGCGTTTGGACTCGCTGGTCGCGGAGGCTCCTTGGGAGTCTTTGCCAAGAGAGCGCTGGGCGCAATACGAATTGCGCCGGGCGCGAGACCTTGGTGGGTCTCTGCCTTCCTCATGCTGGGCGCGAGTTAGGCCACGCTGAGCGCACGAGACTCCTTAGAGTCTTTGCCTGGCAGGCACTGGGCGCAATTGGAATTGCGCCAGGCGCGTGAGAGCCTTGGACTCTCGGGTTAAGTCTCGCCGGGCGCGAGTACTCTTGCGCTAGGCGCGCTGGCCTCTGGTACTCTCGGGTTGAGCCGCGTTGGGCGCGACCTCGAGTGCGCTGGGCGCGCAAGGAGATATTGACATATATACTGTTGGTTGTTGAATGGTGCTGAGATTGTTAATCAATGTTGTTATATGCTAAACGAAGTTGTAATTGATGAATATGCTGTGATGACTAGGTGATAAAATTGAGATAATAATGTTTAGTTGTATTTAGGGATGGCAAATATACCCGTACCCGTGGGTAATACCCGAACCCGTCCCGACTTTGACGGGGAATACCCGGTTTGACCGGGTACGGGTACGGGTACGGGTAAAACCCGATATATTGAATCGGGTACGGGTACGGGTACGGGTATGTACTTACCCGCCCCGTACCCGTCCCCGTTCTCATTTTTAATTTAATATTCACTTTTAATTTAATTATATTAAAAAAATTTAATATTTTTTTATGTATGATTATTTATTATAATGTGAGATAAAAAAATAACCTAATTATAATTATAATATAATAAAAAAAAATAATTTAAAAATATTATTTTTTTAAAAAAAATTTAAAAATATTATTTTTAAAAAAAAAATAAAAAATAAAAAAATTGACGGGTACGGGTACGGGTACGGGTATACCCGATACCCGACGGGGATGGGGATGGGGATGAAAATCCATACCCGACGGGTATGGGGACGGGGATGGGGATGAGTTTTACTTGCGGGGACGGGGACAGGTATCATGAAACCCGTACCCGCCCCGCCCCGTTGCCATCCCTAGTTGTATTAGAGGTGTATTGTTGAGCTGAAATCAATGAATAAAAATGTAAAATTTTATAGTATAGTGGGACTATAGAATGTTGGGCCGAATTGTGAAAAATAAGTGTGTTGAATCGTTGGGCTGTGCTGAGCTGTGTGATATTATAACCGCTAAGTTGGTGCTGATATTAGCCACATATATGATGTTGTTATAGCCGCTAAGTCGGTGTTGTTGTTGCCGCTTTGCAGTGACGTTATAGCCACTTGAGTGGTGCTGTTACTGCTGCTAAGCAGTGCTGATATTGCCGCATTGTGGTGCTGATATTGTGAGTGGTATAAGCTGTAGCTGTTTTTTATCATATTGCTATATATTTATATGTTGATTTTTAATTATACTAGCTTACCCTTTGTTGTTTTCATGATGTTTGGACTGCAATGATCATACTATGTATGGGAGCAGAGCAGGGATAGGTGGATGTCTAGTGGTGAGTCTTCAGCGGACCGGTGGAGCTGATCTCTTTTGTGATTATTTTGTTGTTGAGCTACTTGGGATAGTAGCTTTTGATTGTAATTTTTGTACACTTTAACTCTGTTCAGACTGGATCATGTATATGTATATTCTAGACTCTATATGTATACAGTTGTTCTTTTCTGTGCGGTGTTTCTAGTGTGTTGTGCCGTATGTAGTGACCAGCCGGGTCGTTACATATCTTAAAAATAAGCAACATTACTTACAAGAATTTGTTATTGAAGTAATCTGACGTGGCAACAAAAGTTCAAATTTTTTTAGCTTCGTTGCTTTAACAAGGAATGGTGCTTAGCACTATGAAATTCCTGATGGAGAGGTGTGATTGGTTCATCCGATTCCAAGCTGGAATGTGCACGAAGGTTTGGCAAACAAAAATCAAAGAAACAAGGAACGTGCATGAAGGTTCCAAGCTCATCCGCACCAGCGTCGTCGCACCAGCACCAGCCCTCCTCTCGCAGTCGTCCCCGCACCAGCGCCATCATCCTCGTGTCCACCGTCGCTAGACCAGTGCCGTCGCACCATGACCAGCCCTCCTCTCACCGTCGTCCCCGCACTAGCGTCGTTGTCCCTATGGCCACCGTCGCCGCACCAGTGTCGTCTTTCCTGCACCAGCATGGTCGCATCAGCACCAGCCCTCCTCTTGTCGCTCGACGCACTCCACGGCGACGTCGGGATCCTCACCCATCGCGACGTTGTCGTCCTCCTTAGCAAGTCCGACGCCGCTTGACGCACTCCACAATGATGTCGGGATCACCACCTACCAGCCACGGCCAACACTCACCACCCACCAGCCACGAGAGAGAATAAGAGAAAGAAAAGAGAGGCGTTGAGAGAGAAAGAGGAAACGAGAGAGAATGAGAAAAAGAAAAGAGAGATGTTGAGAAAAGATAGAATGAGAGACAAAAGAGAGACGTTGAGAGACATCCAAAAATTGAACGTTGAGAAATGTTTAGAGACAAAAGAGAGACATTGGGAAAATATACGTTGAGAGACGTTGGGAGTAAAAGAGAGAGACGTTGGAAAAAAAATTGAACGTTGAATGGTACCGATGTGTATAAATTGATTCACTATTCAGATTTACTATCCAAGTTCACTATTCACGTTCACTGAGTCACTTCAAAAAAAATTATCCTATTTTATTATTATTCATCTGCAATTTTTTTTTGTGTTCTAGCACATGGATCCCAATCAATATAATTTTCAAAGTTATTTTAATGATTTACAAAACCAACCACTACCTCCACCCCTTCCGGTGAAAATTATCAAAATCCTCAATTTTTTATATACCCACCACCACCGCACTCTACTAATGATAATTCTTTGAATCCCTATTTTTTTATGTATCCACCACCAATACTAACCAATTCCAATATGTTTTATAGGCCTTCAATGTTTTTCAAAAAAGTTGTGGAGTCATTAGATTGGGAAACAAATTCACCAATTGGTTCAATATCTAGTCTCAAGTTGGGCTAGAGAACATCATACTTGATGTAAGAGGACAACAAGGAGAAGAAATATGTACTAAAAAAATCACGTGTTAGATTTTCTGTCGAAGAGGATAATCCAGGTCAGTTAAAAAGTCGTTGGTTTCAAATCAATAAAGCAGTTCAATTATTTGTCGGATGTTATAAACAAACTCGTGATAAAAAAAAAAGTGGAAACTCAAAAAAAGACATCATGGCAAATGCATATAAAATTTACTCACAAGATGTAGGTGATAAATTCAATTTTGAGCATGCATGACTATTATTAAGAGATGAGCCAAAATGAAAATCTGAATCAATTGAGAGCTTTTTAAAAGATCAAAGATCTCTAAATCTAGGCAATACTCAACGTCTTCTAACAAAGTCAAGAAGAGTAACACTATGAAATATCAAATTTATAATAGACTTATCTCGTTCTCACAATGCAATGAAATTGGATGTATAGCTTTATTTGACAATAACACAACAAATATTTAAAAATTTCAACATCAACTTTACTAGTAGTGATATTTGAAGCAATAATATTTATTTATGGTAAATATTTGGCCCAATTTTTTTTCTTCTATGTAATATCAAATTTATAATTTTGATCTATTTATTTTTAAATTTATAACATTAATTTCTCAATTTTATAAAATTCATAATTTTAATTTTTTCATTAAATATTTATCTGTTGATCTTTAAAGTTGTAAAATTGATTATAATTTTACATTAAGTAGATGAAATAATAATTAATATTTAATAATATTTGAACTAAATTTTACTTTTAAACTAAGTAAAATTTAGCTCAAAGAGTTAAATATTAATTATTGTGTCATCTATATAGTGTTAGGTCACAATGAACATTTAGTTATGAAACCAAAATTGTAAGTTTTATGAAATTGAGGAATAATAATTGCAGATTTAAAAATAGTAAGACTAAAATTACGAATTTAATATTATAAAAGAATAAAAATATAATTTATTATAAATATTTTAATTTAAAAAAATCTAAATTTGGAATCAATTTTCTCTCTAAAATTGTTAGCAGCATAAACAAAACCAATAATTTATAAAAAAATTTATAAAATTGAAAAACAATTTTAAGATATTATTCGTCAACAAATGGTAAATCGATCTAATTAATAAGATGGTTATAGAGAAATTTGAATTGAAATACACAAAATATTATCTGTAAAGGGAAAATGCCACACTAAACTAGTCGTTAAAATTGATATTGTCTTCTTCCCAGATGTCAACTTGCTATAACAAAAAACCTGAACTAATGAACACCAACAATCTAAAATGTTTTTAGGAATAACAGAATCTTTTAACGAAAGAAAGATGATTTTGTTTCCCTTTTCTAGAAGATAATCAAACTAATTTTTCACTACACTCCTGTATCTTTTTCTTAAGAAGTAACGATATATAGAGATTAATAAAGTACATGCCACACTCGTAGTGGCAACGTGTGACCACCAAAATTGAATCATAAAAACTCCAAGTTCAGCTAGCAACAAATTTATTATAATTGGAAAATAAAAACCTAAAATACAAGAACCAGCTAAAAGAAAATCCTTTAATTTAAATTTCAAATTACAGATAATAATATTTATCCAACGCTTTGGACTTTGGAATTCTATTTCCTAACAGAAAGTGAAGCAGGATAATGCAGATGAAGAAGTATTTGGCTACTTTGATTCAAATTAGTAAGGTCACAAAATTGATCACAAGAGAATAGACTAAGTTTTTTGGGAAAACACCAATCTCTTAGTGCTCAAAGAATAAGTTTGTGATAACTTTATCCTCATGTGAGGCCAAGTATGTGTCTGTCTTAATGAGATTTTATAAT